TTATTGGCGCGACTCTGTTACTACTGTGACTCACGGCCGGACACGATAAGCGAAGCGCTTGCTCTGCTGCTCGCTGTGTGCTCTCCGCAGCCGCCGGCTTGCTCTTGCTGTGTGGTGCGGGACTCTCCGCCCGCCTACCTTCCGCATCTCTACCCCACACACATACAATGGAAGCGCCCCCCCCCAACCCTCCTGCCATCCTGCAGCCGTCCATCTGCCCCTCTCTCACTCTCTCGCTCGCACTCGTTCGCTCACCTTTCGCTTGTGAAGCGTTTTGGCCCCCTTGCTCGCATTTTTCTCGTTGCTCTCTTGTTCGCAGCACATTCCCTCGACGCTCGCTGTCTGTCGTCCCCGTGGTGGTGGTGGTGCGCGGGCGCGCGCGACCGTCCTGTTTGTCTCCCTCCATTCTCGCGAAATGTCTCTGCTGCGCTGCTCACTCTCGCTCTCTCTCTCTCGCTCTCCGAGTTGCGCGGGGGTTGGTTGGGGGGGTTTGAAGGGGGCTGAGCTCCCTCTCTGCCTTTGGTGGTCTCGTTATTTGTGTTCCCGCGCGGTGCGTCTCCTTGGTCTGCGTCGCGCGGCGCCACTCTGTGACTCCTCCTTCAGGTCTCCATCCCCCTCCTCCCTCGCCCTCCACTTTTCTGCGGCCGCCCCTCGCTCCTCCTCCCTCTCGTGTGCCGTGACGCTTGCTTCCCAGCACGGTTGCTTTATGAAACCCCGCCGTTTTAGATGCGATTGTATACAGCGCGTGGCGGGGGCGGTGTGGTTGGTGGGGCGGGCGCCACCGCCGCTGCTGCTGTCGCCTCTTTTTCTTTGCGGACTCTACCGCCGCCGCCGTGTTGCTTTGGTGTTCCATGTCGTCTCAGCGAAATTACGTAAAGTCGCGCGTTTTCGTGATTGGCGTCCCCCTCCTCCCGTTTTCTTTTTTCTGGGTTCTCGCGCATATCGTAAAATATAGAAATAGGGACAGCGCGGCGGGAAGGGGAAGCAGCATAGGCCTTGGAGGCATAAGAAATGTGGAACGGGGCGTGGTGGGCGGGACGGACTGGGGACTTGTAATCGAAGAAGCTTCAACTCTGCTTGCAAGCCATGCCGGCTCGTATTTCTGTGTCGCGGCCCGCGCGCGTGGCCGTGCCCTCCAGCAGCGCAGGGCCTTCATGTCGTCCCACAGGGTGGGCGTCGTTGCCCGGAGACTCGCGCTGCCGAGTCACGGGGATGTCACGCGGGCACCTTACTTTCCCAATGCTGTCCCCGATGACGGGTGTCCTCACCTTCCTGGCGTTGTCCCTGATCGCGGACGTCTTCCTGTTGCTGTTCCCGAATATGGGCGTTCTCACCTTCCTTGCTGTCCCCGATGACGAGCGTCCTCACACCTTCCTTTCTGTCCTCTATGACGGGCGTCCTCACACCTTCCTTTCTGTCCCCAAAGTCGGGCCGTCCTCAGCTTCGTTGCTGTCCCCGATGATGGGCGTCCTCAGCGCGTCCTCCCGCTGTCGCCTTCCCTCGTGCGCCTCTCCCGCCATTCTCCGCCACTCCCTGCCTCACTCACGGTATCGCGCGCTCGCCCTGCTCATTTCCGGCGGGGAATAATCTCTCCGTCGGTGGAATCTGCCTGCCTTGGTCGCGGCGCGGTGGTGGCTGCCGCCCGGGCCGGGCCCCGAGCCCCGCTCTGCTCGACTGACGGCTGTGACGTGTCGCGTTGCGTAAGACGCCGGGGGGGTCCCGATTACATTGTGCGTTATATTCGGCTTTTTGGCGCGAGACGCGTATCATCATCATCTGCGGCGGTCGGCGACACGAGATACTGTACGTGTCGAAGGGGGGACATCGGAGAAAGGATGACACCATCACCGTCACGTTTGAAAAATGATGGAAAAAAACTGGGAAAAAACGGGACTCCGTCGTCAAACGGTGGCGGGCGGTTTGGCTTCAGCGGCAAGACGCCTCTGCCTCCCAGCGGAGACGTTAATTGTCGAGATGTAATTGAAAAGAATGGTGCGTGGGCGGGGGCGGCGAGAAAGCGTCGCCGCTGCGCACATGACGGGCGTCGCGCGGTGCCCTGTTATGGCTTCCGCCGCCGCCGCCTCGGAGCACACAGCTCATGCCACAAAATCAATTTCTGAAATCCTGTGTGGCGGAAAACGGATGAGAAAGATGGGGTGGCGGGGGGAGGGTTTAGCGTGGGCGCGTCAGGTCGCCCTCTCTTCCGGACATAATTTTCCGGCTGATTGGGGGCTGAGTGAGAGGGAGGGTATGTGTGGGGGGAAGAGGGGTGTGGTCTCTGTAGTCGGAACGCAGTGACCCCCCGCCCCGCCCGACGCCCTCCCTGGTCATCACTCTCGGGTGCGGTGGTAGTATACCTTGGGGGGAGGGGAGGGGTGAGGGGTCTCACCATCACCGAGGACGTCGTCGACGGCAATCTCGTCGCCGAGGACGATGTAGGACGCGACGCCATCATACCACCTCCGTCGCCCGGCCCCCGGGCGACGGCGCGGCGCCGCGGCGGCCGCGATCAGCTGACTGTGAGGCGGGATCGATCGCACGGGACGACGGCGCGGGGCTGGCCGGTGCGACGCCGAAGCCACGCCGCGCCACGCCGTCGTGAGGCAAAGGGCGGGCGGCGGCGGCGCCACGCTCTCCGCGCTCATGGATACATTCATGGGTAATGAGTGGCTCCTGTGGTGGCGACGCAACTCGCCGTAAATGGAGCGGAGAGGAGGAGGGGGAAGGGGGGGGGCTGGCTGTCCCCCTCGACGGTGGCGTCGCCGCCGCCGATCTATACGCGCGGATCGACACGTATCGGAATTGACAGCCGCGGCGGCGTGTTTCGCCCTCTTCTCATGACATAGCTTGCTTGGCCCATCCCCGTTCCCATTCGAGTCTTCCTCGTTTACTGATTCCTTGTTGCGCGTTTTCAAGTGTTTTGCTGTTGCGTGTTACGTTAGGGGCAATACTATCCGCTCTAGATGCTCGTGTCTGATGTTACCCCGCGCTCAGTTACCCACTCTGAGGCTGAGGCCGGCGCCTCGCCGCGGGGGCGGGAGTCGTCGCCCTCCTTCTAGATGCTCGCTTCGTCCTATGAAGCTACCCCCACTGTGCCTTCCCCTTGCCCTGAGGGGGGTGGGGGTAGGGTAGGAACGGGTCGCTCCCTTCTACTAGATGCTCGTGTCTTATGAAGTTAGCCCCGCTGCTGCCGGAGCCTCGCCCGGGGCGGGACGACGACGTCGTCGTCGTGGCGTGGCATGGGGAGAGGGTCGAGGACGGCGAGCAGCGGCAACTTTATTCCATTACTGGAAGCAGATAGTAGTGGCCCCTAATCGCTCTTTTCGACTTTGCGCCGCCCGGGCATGCCTGGCATCCTGCCTGGAGCCGATCCGCCTCGATGCCGGTGCTGCTGCTGCTGCCGCTGCCCTTGCCCGCCCCCTGCTGCTGTGCCCGTCCGCTTTTGGATGCCTGTCAAGTGGCTGCGAGCAGCAGCAGCGTGCCGGCGTGTTCGCTGTTTTTCTCGCATGTAGAGCGGGCACTTTGGGCGTCATTGCTTGTGCTAATGATATGCCGATGCGAGGTGCAGCGGGCTGCGGCCGGCCGATCATCCTCCCGTATATAAAGTTATATGGGCTGGCCGTGGCAGCAGCGTGGCGGTGACAGACAGGCCCGTCTGGGTCCTGATCTGTTCCGCGCCGGCCTTGGCTGCTGCCCGGTGCCGCCGCCGAGGTGCCCCACCCGCTGTAGTAGTACTGCGGTGCGAATCTGTTATGCAAAAACGTCTCGAGGCCGGGTGGGTGCTGCTGCGCCCTGGCTGCGCCGCCGTGCGCGCGCGGACCACCCCCTCCTCGCTTTGCTCCTTGTACTACGCCACCGCGCCGGCAAAGTGTGTCCGGCATCTTGTGTCCCTCGGGCCGATTGTCCACGACATGCGAATGGGCGTAAAACGAACCACCACACTGTATGAAACATTTCAGTGAAATGTGTGTGTATGTAACCTTTTTTCGACGTTATTCGTGGTTCATTCACCCCGCGTGCTCCCGGTGCATGAAGTGCGACCTTGTCGCTGGGGGGGGGGGGGGGGCGTTGCGCGGTGGAGCCGCGGCGGCGTTGGGCCCAGGAAGACATCTGTTGGGTGCTGTCTGGCCGCGGGGCCGCCCCGCCCGCCCCAAGGGCTCGCAACTCCGCCCGGCCGATGCACTGTGCCGACCTCGTCGTCGCCGCTCTCCGCCACGCCTCGCTGCCCCTGCGCTAATTTTATTTTGCTGATTTTTGTTCGGTCTCCGAGCCCCGAGTTGTAGTAGTACATCCTCTTCAACGAGCGCGCGAATTATGGATTGGGGAGGTTGACTATCGAGAGCGAGGAGGGGGGCCTTGTCGGCTACATTTAAAGTTAAAGCGTATACTGATTTGTTTCTGTTTTCGTCAATTTATTTTATCTTTTGATTTTTGTAATCAATTTTTCTTGACCTTTCTGATTTTTCCTGATGTTTTTTTTTTCCCCCTGATTTTAAAAATTTTATTGTTTGTAGGCTGCATACTGATTTTTTTCAGTAAATAACCCCTTTGTTGGTACGCTTGGGCGTAGTCGGCACGCGTCTGAATTTCCTTTGGGCCGCTGCTCTGCGGGGTATACTGTAGTGGTTTCCCTGGCCGTACCGGGTGTAACTGAGAATGCGCAACAGTGTTGCGGGATTGCATACCCGCCAGGGCTGCAGGGGCCATGGCGCCTTACGGGCTAACTGGGTAGGCAAACCCGCAACACTGTTGCGCATTCTCAGTTACACCCGGTACACCGCGCGCGCCGGGTTCAGTACAGTACAGTCCGGCCCGGCCCGACCGGTCACTGACTTGAAGTGTAGTGGCGCCCCGTGGGCCGTATCGCGTCACGCGAAGTTGAGGGGAAAGGGAGGAGGCGGAAAGAGGGGGCAGGGGGTTACACTTGAAGAAGGCAATGCAGTCATGAGGTGAGGTGGGGCGGGGTGGAGAGGGTCGCATCTCTGTCCTGCTCCCTGGCAATGTGCCCTGAATGTAAGGAGGCGCGTGTGTTGGGAGAGGTTCAGTTGACGGTGCAAGTTTTCTAAAACGATGAATTTCATTAGCGTGTGGGGCGCTTCGCGGTTGAATGATTGCTTTTTCGCCCCCCCCCCTGTAATCACACCTTTTTGCTTGTTTGTGAATGTTTGTACTGACCGTTGCTCTTTTATTTTATCTGTTGCAGACCATGCAGTCTCCCAACCTATCACAATGGTTCCCCGGAGATCGGGCAGTTTTCCGGGAAACGAAGCGGCGAACAACATTTTATCACCACGCTCCGAAACTGGGGGCCTTGGCGTTAAAATGGTCGAATACGTGTTGGGCACTTCCCCGACGAACAAGGACTTAGAAGGTAGAATGCGGGGTTTGGTAATGGTAAGTGTTTGACATCGAACGTTCTGTAATTCGCATACTTTTTGATGAGTGTGTCCTAAATTAACATATATTGTCTTCCCTTCTAGAACTCTGCTGATTCAGATAAAAAAGATAAGGAAAAAGCTCCAAACTCCCCCTACGACTCAAATAAAAAAGATATGGAAAATGGTAACGCTGTAAATGTACAAGCCAATGGAATTGTTCAGAATGGACTGTGTGACGATGACAAAGGGTTCAAGTGAGTACTCAACTTATTTCTCTCTTTACACTGCGACCTGTTCGCGCTATATTCCCTTATCGTTCGGTGAATGCCCCGCAGCTCATGTATGCAAACTTGTTTTATTTTTAGCCGGACGCCTGGCAGTCGTCAGCCCTCGCCTTCAGACGAGGACATAAACAAAAATAATGGAGGCATGGTGGGCGGAGGTGGTGGCGGGCCCATGAAGGGCCACCCCCAGGAGAACCACAACGGGCCGGAGAACCACATGAACCACACGCTGCAGCAGCTCAACCACCACCACCAGATGAACGCACACCACGCCATGAGCCAGCACCCGCACCACCTCAACGCCGTGCAGCAGCACCTCACCGTCAACATGAGCCTGCAGCAGCAGGCGCAGCAGGCCGCCCAGCAGCAGGCGCAGCAGGTGGCGCAGCAGCAGGCGCAGCAGCAGGCCCAGCAGCAGGCCGCCCAACAGCAGCAGGTGCAGCAGCAGCAACAGCAACAACAGCAACAACAGCAGCAGCAACAGCAAATGCACAACCACCTCAACATGGAGAGCATGAACGAGCACTTCCAGCACGTCATGACCCTGGACCCCGCGCAGACGATGGCGCAGGCGCAAGCCTTTGAGGCCGGGTAAGTGCTCCCTCCCTCGCAGGTCTTGTGCGCCAGGGAACTGAGAATTTTTATTCTCTCTAAAAGTCTCTGGGAAAAATTAAGATTTTCATTTTTCAGTACTTTAATTGGAAGTTTTATTTTACCCATTTTTATTTTCTGATAAAGTTTCAAATTTTCCCGGAAATTGTTCTTCAAAGTTCCTAATCGTGACTTTGTCTGGCCCGCAGATACCACCAGGGCCCTGGGCCGACGGCGGCGGCCCCTCCGGGGGCCATGCTGGCCCAGCAGCAGAACGCGGCCGGCGGTCCCGGCGCGCAGGGCATGGACTCTCCCGGCGTCCTGCCGCCCAACTTCGACATACAGGTGAGTGTCCCTGTCCCCGTCGTGCCCATAATATATCGTCCAGCTTGCCGTGTGGCGCGCTACACGCGGTCCAGGCGCCGCCGCCGAGTAGCCCCGCGGCCCGCGCCGGCTGGTGTATTGATCTCGCCCCCGGTACGCCCGCGACTCCCCTCTCCGGCCCGCCCCGGCCCCGCACCAGACGTCGTGGGGATCAAAGTGCGGAGAGGGACGTTTATTACAACAACGGGTTGAGCGCCGCCGAGCCGCGCCGGCTGCCCTCGCGCGGGGTATGTCCGCGGCCGCGCCGGCCGGTACTACTGTGTGACTCCGCGGCGATGCCCCGCGCTGGCGCGCACCACCACGGGATAGCGCCGCAGCGCTCTGACGTGCTGACGGCCGGTCCGGCCCGCGAGGTGGCGCTGCGATGCTGGTCCGGGTGGAGCAGGCGCTATACTCCCCGCGAGTCGCCTGCTTGCCGCCGGGTCAAGCTCGGGCATGCCGGGCGCCGCGCGCCGCCGCGGGGCCGCCGGGCCGTGGCGCCTTTGTCTCCTTTGTTTTGGTTACGCCCTTTGTTCCCGCGGGGGGGCCGATGTCACCCCCGGGCGGTGATGATGATCCCTCTCCGTCCCTTTATGACTGCGTCGTGTCACTGACGTGTCACCGACAGGGCGGCTCGCGCAACCCGCTGCTACCCACAACCACCACCGCCCTGGCGATGTTGCTGGAGAAGGGGCTGTGGCGCGCTCCGGACGGGGGGGAAGTGCTTCCGGCCGAGTCCTTCCAGGAAGCAGTTTGAGTCGCTGGGTCGTTAGGTTGTTGCCGTGGCGTGGTCCCGGGTCGTCGTATCGCGCGGTCCTTAGGCTCTGGGGCTCGGTGCTCGCCTGCATGCCTCGAGCATTCCAGTCTGCATTCAGCGACGAGGAGGGTAAATGTTTTAGGCGCGGCGTGGCGTCCCGGTGGCGGCTCTTTCGCGGAGGCTTTGCAGGGTGGGGCGGGGGAGGAGAGAAGCGCAGGTGAATGCAGCTCGCCCTGTGCGTGGTAATGGCGGCATAGTTTGGGCCGAAAGGAATTCGGTGACGCATCGCGCCCCGGTGACAGAAAGGGCGGGGAGGGCGGCGCGGAGGAGGGGGCCGTCATATGTTAGACTTGTTGGCGTCCGGGTCCTAATATAGCCCAGGAGGCCCCCCGCCGACCCGACTCGCGACCGGCCTCCTCTGCTCGGCTTGGCTGCGGTCTGTTCGAGCCTCGCTGTTGTACCGGCCCCGCCCCGCCCCGCCGCAGGTGCTTCCCCCGGGGCGTTCTCGTGGGACCTGAGGGCCCGCCGTCGGCTGACCCCGCCTTGCCCCGCTGAACCGACCACTGTCCCCTGCGGCGGCGGCGTTGCCAGGCGCGCCGCCTACGGGTGGCCCTTCTCGAGGGCAGCAGCAGCGGACTGAAGGAAGGTGGACGACGGTCTACGAAAACGGATACGTCGACGTCTTCGAGAAGGGAGGAGGAGGGTCACTAGCAGCCCCACGAGGGTGCAGAGGACGCTGTAGTCTGAATAAGGTCGGCAGGGGCCCCGATATACCCTTTGAACTCGGGCCCCCTTTTAGTAAAGCTGGGAGGGATCTCGTCCTCGTCCTCTAAGCGACCCAAGGTGTTGTGTTCGGCGACGCGCTTGTAGTGGGGCGGGGCCGGGCGGGGCCGGGCGGAGCTGGCACACCTGCTATACTTGCTCCCGTTTGTTGCGGTTGTCATTGGGAGACCCCGTGGGCAGAGAGACGCCTAAGCCCCTCAAGGTCGGCACCGCCAGCGCCACCGCCACTATACTTCGGGCCGGGCCGGGCAGTTGTTCGCGCAGGGTGTGGGGCGGGGCGTCTTAGAACTTACTTGTCGAAGGTGGTAAACCACGTTTGTGTGTGTGTCTGCGCTTATCGTATTGGGCTGGGTGTGCGAGGCGAGTGTGGGCTGGGGCCGCCGCCGGGCTGGGCTGGGCTGGGCTGGGAGTTGAGGGAATACAAAAGAGGATCGCAAAGGACCCGCCTTTTTCGTGTTGTAGTAGTACTGTATGGTCCTTGAGCGCCAGCGCTCGCACCAGCGGCGGTATGGTGATGGTGGTGGTGGTGGTGGTGATGGTGATGTTGTTTCGGACGGGTAGGATCGTCGTGCGACGAGACGCACACACTGCCTTGCCGCAGTCGCGTTTCTGCGGTTTTGTTTTTATTATTTGATCTAAGACCACATTTTGTTTTCTCGCGCCGCGCGCAAGTGCGAGTGTGGCCGTAGGGGGGGGGGGGGGGGGGCTCGAGATCTCGACAAGGCGATTGTTCGCGCTCTGGCTCTGCTCTGCTGCTGTCGGCTCATTGCGGTTGTTGCCCGCTGGTTGGTTTGGGAGGTGTCGTAGTACGTGCAGGCGCGCGTGGGCACGCCCGGAGGAGGAGGAAGGGCTCATCTCCCTCCTCCTCCCGTGTGTAATTGTTGTCTCTAATTGTTATTTCGACGCCTTTGGCTCCGGCGCTGCTGCCGCCGCCACAGAGCGCTGCTTGCTGCTGAGTCACTCTCCTCCACGTGGACGCGCCCGGGACGTTGCCTCTGCGGATCGAGCTAGCCAGCGCGCACTTCTGCACGTGTGTTGTGTAATAACACATACACACTCTAAAATAGAAACATCCTTTAAATTATGAATAATTGAAAACTCAAGCATTTCATACCCAGCTTCAGGGTGTTTATTTCACCGGCTCGATCCGTTGTAGCACACTTTTTCGGAAACAATTGTGATTGCTGTGGCAGACAAAGTTTTGGCGGTGGCCGCTGTGGTGGTTGTGGTGCACCCCCACGGGGTGCTTTTAGCCGTGGAGGTGTGTGTGCGTGCGCTGTGTCTAGCGCCGCCTCTGTTGGTGTTGTTGGTAGTCCCCACCCCATCCACACCGCCGCCACTCCGTTCATTGGCATTCCATCGACACTGGACGATAATCTCTCTCTCTGGCCAACAGGCTTTTTCACTCAGCCCCTCGCAGGCGCGCCATCATGACCGTCACGGACCTCTCGCCTGTAAGTGTGGGGCGGCGGCCATGGTGTCGCAGCAGAGGGTCGTGGTTCGATAGAGTCCGAACGCCCTCCTACTCCTCCTCCTCCCTCCCCGCAGCCGCGCTGCTGCTCCTTCCGTGAGTGGGCCCTAGGGGGTTAGAAGAAGGGGCGGGGGTGGGTGACTTTGGTTAGAGAGAAAGAGACGGTGGTGGTGGTGGCCGCACCACTCTGGCCGTGTAAGTAGTGCGGCCCCTTTGGCCCCTCGTGCACGCTTCCTGACAGCCCCCCCTCCCCCACCTTCCCTCCCCTCCACTTAGCGCAGGAACGGCGGGAGGCGCCAATTCCCGTCCAGGGGCGCCGCCGGCAGGACCTGACCAGGTGGCCGGTCGGTGTCGGTAGGGGGGTCTTATCAAATCGAGGCGCCCGTATACGTACTGGATGTACTTCGCCGCGTGGCTCGGTCGTGTCCCCCTCGCTCTCTCTCTCTCCTTCTTTCTCCCTCTTTATCTATTTCTGCACCTGTCTCTCTCATTCCCTCTCTCACGATAGTAGTGCCGCTTTCGTTGGCTCGCTCATCCTGCTCATCCCCGCCACGTTATATAGGAGGTGTCGTTCTACGCGGTAATCTATTTGTCACAATATTGACTGGGCCGTGCGGTTTGGCGCCCGTCTTTCTGCTCGCCCGTCTGTCTGTCCGCCCGCCTGTCCTCAGCGTGGCCCCATCATCAATTTCAATCGTGTACCGCCGCGCACTTGAGGCTGGGCGGGGGAGGAGGTGGTGGCTCTCCCGCCGGCCGCCCCCGCCCC